AATATTAATAATAGGGGCTGGAGACATCCAAATCACTGAAGAGATGAGTCCACTAAACAAAGTTTTTTTACATATTTAAAAATATCTTTCTAGAAATTCTGGATTTGTTTCTTTCCTTCCACCACTATTTTTGGGGAGAGAGGGTTGTTTAAAGCTTTACTTTCTTAGATAAACAGTCATATGAGTCCAGAGGAACATCAGAAGTTGTGGCTGTGACCCACTCCAAGGGACACAGCATAGCTGGATCCCTGCATTCATCCCAGCACTCAAGCATTAAGGTCAACATTTCCAAAGTTAATATCCTCATTTCAGGTCTCCCACATAACTGCAATTCCTGCTGCCTGCAGCTGGTCTTACCAAGTAAGCCACCTAACCTCATGTGTAATGTCACCCCATACATCTCTCTATGCTGTCTCTCCTTCAGCACAGGACAGGAGGCAGCTCCGGCTGGCAAGTATTGCTGCAGTTTTCCAGCACTAAAATCCAGATAATCCAAGGTGCTTAAAGTAAAGATGTTGCTTGTAACCTCCACTTACACTTTACACTTACTCTGCTGTGTGCTTGTAAAAACAGAATTACTTCAGGAATCTTTCACTGAATGAGCACTTGGGCATTTTGATTTTTTTACTGTGTCAGCAAAACAGCGGGGTGTATGATCAGTGCTTGACAGCTTGGGTAATTCAAATGCAAATGTATAAACCCTGTCAGTCAAGGGAGAAACAGGTAATTAAATACAGACATCTCCCATGACAAGGGCAATTAAATGGTCTGCTTCTCCTCTTACACTGCAAAGATTTTCCGGTGTTTCCTGTCACTTGCTGAGCCAGCTTTGGCTTTTAAGCCTAGGCTAGCAGCTGAGGTGTCACCACTCCCACAGGTACTCTTATCCCCTTTCCCCTTACACCAAGGAGGACGAGGGCAGTCCAGCAGGCAAACACAAACTCCTTTGCTGGGATGAGCTGAGCAATAGCTGAAGAAATCCATTGCCTTGACAGAACAGAGAAGCACGGCAGACAGATGTCCTTCCCATGCCAACCTCATTTACAATCCTTTTAAAACACACAAACACACACCCATCAACTGCTTGTTTCCTCGCTCTTGTAAACTCAGTCCTCCTGCCTTAGTACTCATGGAAGGTGGCCTTAAGCACATCACAGGCCTTAACCCTCTCCTGGCTGCTCTGCAACTTTGCCAAGCTTGCAGGAAAATGGGTCTGGTTGACAGCTCCCACTGCTTCTGTGAATGCAGCTAGACAGATACAAGTACCATGCAGCCAGGGGAGTAGTCCCACAGAAAATACATTTCTAATATTAACTCTTTTTTTTTCTTTTTTTCTCTTTCTTGCATATTTTCAAACAATTTAACTTTGACCTTTTGCAATCTGATGATTGAACACAAAGCCAACCTAGGCACCTGGGAATTCATTGGCTATGCCCTACCTAGCCAAAGCTGTGCAGGCATGCTCATCTGCATCTATTTGCATGCAGAGCACCTTGCAGGGTTGGAGGCTCCCACTGCAGGGAAAGCTGAGATCAGCAGTTTGTCCCTCTGCTTCTCCTTGAGAAAGGCTTGTAAGCAAGCAGCCAGTCCCTCTGGACAACCACTAGGTCTTAGCGAGTCAAACCACTGAGCAGCTTTAGGTGCTCTGTATTGGATGCTGACACTTAGCTGAGTATTTGCACTCACCAGCAGATGATGGATTCAGTATTATTAGTATGTGGGAAAGTGGAAATGGGAGGAATAAAAGTATAACACTAGGAAGTATACTGCTGTAACCATAATGTGGACTGTTCAAAAATCTATTAAAACTGGGCCTTTTGTTTTCGGAAGGTGATCCGAAGCAACAGATGCAACAGATTTGTACAACTGTAGTAGCACATAGCATACGTGCCTCTCTGTTCTCTCACATACTGTATTTGTCCATTGCACCTACCCACTGCCTTTAATATTGTGGTCCCATCTTTGGAAATGACCCTGTTGTATCACCAATGCTTTCTTTACACAGCAGATTTCTGACCCCTGCGATGCAAGGTCTCTCTAGGCATTATCACGGTACCTTCAGTAATGCCAACAGTTGTTCCCATTCTCTTTTGGCAATGGAAGGATACTGGAACTGAAGTGGGTTTATCATTTTTTGCAGAAGATGAATCATAGGCAAAAGGTCTGTGGTGCACTGACAAGTCTCCCTTTTCTTGGAGACAGTGCCATGTCTGCTATTCACAGCAGGTAGTTTCGGAGTTTTTCTGTCCCATGGTCTATGGCTTCAAATCATGAGAACAGGGACATTCGCATGCTTTACGTGAGCATCTCAGGTAGGATTCACATCACTGAACACTAGCCATCTCAAATATGGGCATCTTATCTGTGCTAAACAGCAAGGCTTCCTCTGTTTCTAAGGAAGGATATAGGTATCCTCATACGGTGGTTTATCCTCTCTCCTCTGGAGGTACCTCTTTCCATGCTCTAGGAGACACTTTGCTGATTATTCTGAAGCGTCTCCTCACCTCAGACAACAAAAGCCAAGTGAGATGTGCCATGTCTGAGCAGTGTTACCTGCTGGACTCCTGAGTCATCATGTTACCCTGTTCTCACCACCATGCCACTGTCTTCTGCAGATGTTTCCCTGCAGGACTGAGCTGCCACTCATCCATTGTACAACGCCACATCTGACCTTGGATATGGCTGTCTAAGACAACAGCCAGTGCTGGGCTCAGCATCTCCCTAACCCAGAGGCCACAGCAGCGTGTGAATGGCTGCTGATCCCTTCGCAGACTCAGGCAGGCATCACCATGCTGGTCACAGACAACTTGCATCCTGGAAGATTTCCCTGTACATTTTAAGTTCATTTCCCTAATGACACGATTAATACCGGGGCCTAGAGTTCACAGAAACAGATTAAAAAAAAAAAAAAAGGCTAACTGGCTGTGAGCTGACAAAATATAGACTGCATTATTTTATAACAAAATTATCCCAGCACAGCAGTTAATATACCAAACCAGAAACTTCAGCAAACATAATAGATAAGGCCCATTTGTGGTTCGGTGCACAGCATTTAAGATTCATAGGTCTAATAAAGGTAAAAGTTTCGTTATTATCTCCTTCTGCAATGGACAAGAGGTGCATTAGAAGAGGGTAAGATGATACCTTGAAAATGGGGACATAAAGTCTTCTCCCACATGCATGTCTGTCTCCCTTATAGCCAAGTGGCTTTGAGAAGTGTGGTAATATTTGATCACCAGTGCAGCACAATGGTTAACAGGATCCATATAAAGCTGAAGTTCAGAATTTAGTCACCAAACCTGAAGCTTGCCACAGCTGCTGTTTTCCGTTCTCTTCACTCACTTCAGGCAAAAAACTCTATCGATATGCTGCTCAGTAAAAGCATTTGCAATGTTTACTTTATGTGGCACGTGATCAGAAAGCAACAAATCTCCCTAATTTAATCTTCTTTATGGTGCATTTTTCTTTCCCTGACACCCCTTAAAACAATTTATATTACAGCTTTGTAAAGATGAGTTTCCTGGGGAAATACGTCCTATTTTCCCAACATTTTCTTTGAGCAGCTGGGAGGGAATCAGCCACCACATGAAACCTGGGAATAAAAGTGTAGGTGGTCCTTTACTAGGGCATTTGTGCAGTTCTCATATTTTCTCAACATTTTTAGAGCAAATTGCTTGAAGACTTTTGCCTACATATAGGTCTGTTTATCATCTGCTATTGGACAGAGATTGCTATTTTCATTAGTATCCTGATGTGGAGAAATTACTAAACATATTGACTAGCCTGTCTCTGAAACATTATGGAGTCTGCTGTTATTAAGATCACATACTGGATATTGAAATATGTGCATGAACTACTTGGAAATTGAACAACATAGTCTGATGTTTTATAGTAGCTTAGGAGGAGAGACACAGAGTGGCATGCAAGGAACTACTTAAAGCAAACCCAGTTTCATTTCTTAGTGATCAAGAAATATGACCCCCAGCTCCTTTTTGGGCAAAACAAAACTGAAATAAGTTTTCTTTTTTGAAATCCTAGTACTTCTATGAGACTTTATAACTTTAGCATGATTAGAATGTATTCCTTAATCTTTCTGAAGCACCCAAATCAGAAACAAAATATCCTAGATTCTATGATGTACATAGGAGTTTCTGTATAAAACAACAGTCTAATCAAAACAGTCTAATAAATATTTAAAACCTTTCCAGAAAGGTAGACTTCATCCTTCTAAGTAGCATTCAAATTAAAATTAAAATGTCTTTTGAATTTAAATCTGAATGCTTTGAGAGTTTTCTAAAGCCTCACAGAAATCTAAAATAGAGCTGGCTTATTAGAAGCAGTTCATTTGTTAAAGTCAAACTTAGTTTCACATATTCTAAAATAGCATAGCTACACGTTATTTTATCAAACAGTATTGGAAGACAAAGTTTCCTAACCAACAGCACAGATCAGTTTTGATTGGCTAAGGGGTCAATGGTTTAATCAAGGGAAATAAACTGTCTATAGTGAACTGAGATTCCTGGCTTCAGGCATCCTCATTTGAATATTTGGAATATATTTCATGAAATATTGCCTCATGTAATTAGCCTTAAGGAAGCAAGCCACTAGAAAGAACTGATTCAAACTGTGCTTTAAACTGCTGCTGCAGTACCTTCACACTTCATGAAATATGGTTCAATTATCATTTTGGTAAATTTGAACATGAGAGCTTTCCACAGAGCTTTGTTAATGGTATTTTCTCTCTCTGGTCTTTAGCATGATTTGCTCTTGTTTTTCTTTTAATTAAGCTAGACTGTTAGCTAAACTGCACAAGCATTTAGTTTAACCTGGAAAAAGTATTCTGTGTTCAGCCTGCATCCTCTTCAAGTTGTGTGCTCATAATATCAGAAATCAAATGAAGTTGCTCTTTTCCCTCATTAGGTTAAAAATGATTGTTACCTGAAAATATGCATTTGTAATAATGTATTTTATGGACTTGTCATTAGGCAGGCTTCTTTCCAAGCTACAGCAGCCAGCTTACCTGTCAGCTGAAAGAGCAGTGAGAGTAAAGACTGACACCCCTACAGAGGTGAGCTGTATGAAGGGGATAAGTTTGCATCCAGTTCTGCCGAACAGCCACTCATCAGCAAGGTACCTGCTGGCATCCACGGGCACACAAGTCACTAACAGCAGCAGGTCTCCCAGAGCCAGACTGGAGATGAACAAGTTAGGGACATTTCTCATAGATTTTACAGTACAGAAGATCTTAATCAAAGTGATATTGCCAATAAGGCCTATCAAAATAATGATCCCGTAGATTGTGGGGATGGCATAGAGGAATGCTGGGTAGAACCACTCATCACCGAGAAGGGAGAGGTTTGCACTCTGGTTGACAGAAAGGTTGTAGAGAATGAAGTTATCTGTTTCTAGGTCTAGCAGAAGGCAGCCTTCAGATGCCATTGTCCTACGTTGCTCTTCTCAGAAGACAACTTTCTTCTTGGGAGATGATCGAATAAATTTTTGGCTTTAATTTTGCTTCTGCTTGCTGGCTTTAAACAGTCAGAAGAGTCTAAAAGTCATATCTCTTTGTGACAGATCTTGACAATAAACAAACCAAGAAAGCAGCTGCAGCTTGCACAGGGAGAACTGTTTCCATAAGGTGAAAGGAGAATATTTTCTAGCATAGTTTGAATCCTGAAACTTGCCTTTTGACTTGTCTCGCTGTCAGGTGTTCCTCAGCTCTGGAAAGCCATTTGTCAAATTCAAAGACCAGTAAGTGGGAGGCATTTTCACAGTGGAGGCTTGCTAAATTCTCAGTGCCAGGTCTGCTGAGCAGAACCAAGTCCAAAACAAGGGAATTACAAAAAGCAAGAACTTTTGGTAGCTGCTGTCACGCTGCATTGCCAGTCTCTCCCTCTTCCAGCACCTGTGCTTGCCAGCTGGATTTAAAGTGAGGAAAAAGCAGGGTTCCGCTGGCAGCTCGGATCCTATAGGCGGGATCTTCTGGACGTCAATTCTTCCCCTGCTTCCCAGGATGAGAGCAGGCTTACTGAAATGACTGCGGTAATTCCAGGCGAGCGCCGGAGAATGCCAGCCACCTGCCGGAGAGTCTAATCACTGCCGGGGAGCGGGGGGATAGAAAACACACCAAAATCACTGTTAACTCTTTAGAGGGTAAAAAAGGAAATAATAATTAAAAAATCTGCTCATTTATAGCTCCTGAGGTGAAGTTCACTGCTTCTCTCCCCCCCCCCCCCAAAAAAAAAAGAAAAGAAAAAGAAAGGAAATAACTAGCTCATACTGCAAATAATGTGATCATAAAAGCAATTGCACCTTCTTAAATAACAGCACACATACTTTACACTCCGGTTTGCACTCTGGAATTCAATCGTTCCAATGAAAGAGAATAATTACATGGAGCTAAGTTCATCCCCCCCCCCGCGCAAATTAAGTAAAGCCAATTAAGATAAAATCAGCATTATAGTTAAGGAAGGCAAATGAGTTTTAGCACTATGCACCTGCAGTTGACCAGGAAAGTCGGAACCCTGCACATCTTTTTAATATGTTTTAGTTTGGGGGTAAGAATAACAAAGGGGACAAAATTTACCATTCAATGTGATCATTTCTCCGTATGAAGTACTCATCACACTGGCATCTATAAGTAATGCATATTGAGATGCAGGAGAGAGAGATTTGCTTGGCTTTTAACAGTTTGAAAATGTTCTTTCTTAGAGCTTAATTAAGATATAACTATTACTGATTCCTTACTTCTTTATAACAGGCTATTTACTATTATATACAAGGACTTTGCAGAGAAATACAGTTAATTTGTAAACAAGCCTGCAGGATTAAATGAAGCTGTAATTTACACCTCCCCTTGCAACTGCTCATGTTTGTAGACAAAAGAATGTTTTACCAACTGCTAGAACTACTTGGAAGTGAGGGGGGAGATGATTCAAATCAGGCATTAAATTATGATCACTGGTTTCTAGATAAAGGAGGCATTTCAGGACATGATTTGGAAAAATCCCCAAGCGCTTGGGAGCCATGTCCAAGGGTGGGATTCTGAGCAGGAGGCTTCAGGAGCTGTTTTTCTGCCTCATTCTTGTGACCCAGGTCAGTGTTTTCAGCTGCTTTGCTGCTGTTCACTCTAAGTCAACAAAGGACTTATGTGTACCCTTAACTTTAAGTAGGGCTACTTAGATATTTTTTTCAAGCCAAACACCCAAGAGAATGCTGTTCTGAGAGCTCAAGGGAACAGAGGAGAAGCAAAATTTTCCGGTATTAATTTCAGATAAAAGTCTAGTTTTAAAAATAACCCTGAGATTGCCACGGTTAAAAACAGAGGACTCAGAGCTACTGCATGCAGTCTGATCAGGGCAAACAGGGAAAAGTGCTTCTGCAGGTCAGGGCCAGCCTTGTGCAAGGCTGCCTGGTTGGGTAGAAGCCAGCCAGAGGCAGCACCATGTTTGGTACAGCAGGAGGTACCAGAGGCATGGAGAGGCATCATGTAGCTACAGAAGCAGCTGAGGCACAGCATCCTGTGGGAAACCTCTCCGTGCTTGGGAGTCTGTTAAGAAGGGCTGCATGACAAAAGGAAACATGCTTCCCCCTATTCGCTTTCCAAGGTTTGGGGTAAAGCAGAAAGGACGTGGCTGGAAGAGAGAGGGAGAAGTGGGAGCAGAAGTGTAATCCTGATGGACCCAGTGCCCAGAAGTCTGGTTGGTGGTTGACAGTGACCTGCTCTGAGTGGGAGCTGGGAACAGAGACTTCCCATTGCCCCTTCCCATTCAAATGACTTGGTGATTCTGGGTTTCTGTAGCTTGCTACTCAAAGACATAATAGCTCTAGCTCTCATCCTGAGCATTTATTCTTCCAGATGGACAACAAAATAGTCTGTTTGCCAAAACCCCTCTAATAGAACCACTACAGCATCATATATTGCTGTTCAAACTCTTCTATACTGAAATCTCTTGTACTGTTACATAGTGAGCTATGTGGGATGAGCAAGGAAAGGAAATGCTGGAACCACTTATCTTTCAGCAGACAGTGGCGTTGGTCACTCTTCTTTTGAGGTGAGTGTAGGCGTATCACCTTATCCCAAGTGCCTCCATCAGTGACAGAAGTCTCTCTCATGATGTCTGGAAAAAAATCACTTTGCCTTCACCTTTGCCAGGCTGATATTTCATTCCAGGAAGCACTTCAAGTCCCCAGCTACAGCTCCCTAATTTTTGGTTTTGACAAATCCAGGCTTCAAGTGTTTGGGCCTTTTGGCCACAGAGAATGAGAAATTGAAAAAACGAATGCAGAAAAAGAGATAAAAATAACAATAAAAACCCCTAACAGATCCTTGAAGCTTGAAACTTAGTTTACATCATAAAAACATCCATTATTTATGTCAGGCATAATGGACTGTTTCAGGTTTTATTTGCAATTGCCTAGGCTGCAGATGTTCCCCAGACCAAACTTAGAAAAGTTAAGGTTGTTTCCCAGAGGTGTTTTTGTCTTGTCATAAATTGCATATGAGATGTTCTGTTTATTATAAATGGTGTACCTTTTTCATTATGTCACTCTAGCATTTATCTTCCCTGAGAAGGCAAAATGTCTGGGCATTTTTATGAGCATGGCCACCTCTGCTGTAGTGTTCATTTCAAGCTCCCAAGCCTCTCTCCAAAGGAAGGTAAGCATCGATACTCGTATTTCACCAGTGGAGTAACCTTCATGCACACGCACAAAAAAAGAAGTGACTGGCATAAGGTTACTTAACAGGCTGTTGGCAGAGTTGTGAATAGAATAGTGCAGGTCTTCTGAGCCTGGTCCTGCATTATAATGGTTTTCCACTGGATGATGAGAGATTCCACAGATACTTTCAATAGATGCTCTTTTTACAGCTCTCAACCTTTATCCAGCATCCAAATGACAGCTACAAAGAGACAATCATCTTCTTACTCCTTAATTGTGCACAATGGAGTAGATTTGGAAAAGAGGTCAGTGGGTAACATTTTCAAAAGCAGTTAAACCAATTTGAAAGGTAATGAAATTTAAGCTCATGAGCTCACCACCCAGAAATGGAGACAGAGTTTCAAACAAATGCTGTCTGCACTGAGAAAAATACATGAGGACCCATTTTACAAAGGCACTTGGAGAGATGCAGCTGCCACAGGCAGATTTCCAAAGGGACCAAACACTCAGTGTTCTGAGGTCTTTTGAAAGGCACTGGTCATTTATTCTACATATCTAAATGGACTTCTTTTGAAAATCTAGTGCAACAGAGGGGTTCTGAGCCCCTGTGAGTTTCCATGGGAGATTCTCTTGTGATGGGTGCCAGAGCACACTGCTGTGGCCACCTGCAGACTCTGAGGCTGTCTGAGGCTGGCACAGCCACTGCCTTGGAGGACAGGAGCACTCCAGCTGCACCAGGGCAGGCAGTCCATGCAGCATCCTCCACACTAGGCACCCTCAACACCAAGGGGACAGGGGGATTTATGGCAATAATCTCCCAGATAGTATGGCTGTTTGACAAGGGTGTTCTGTTTATTATCTTGACACAATAAGAATTTTGTTTGCCTCTTGTATATGTCCTCAGACAAGATGGATAAACTCCCTTCCACAGCCAAGTATGAGGAGAGGAGTCCCTCTGCTCAGGGTGCTGCTGTTTCCTGATAATTGGATTACTGGGGGTAGGAGCCAGGGATTACTCCCTGATGAGCTTGCAAAGTGTAACATCCACCAGTATATAAAATATCCTGGCCCTGCTGGCTTACCAAATATCCTCCTGCAAACTGCTCATGTCCCAGAGGAAACAAAGTGGTGGAAAACATCCCACCTATAATCACTTCAAGCAAATTCTTCATTTTTACTGCTTTCCCCCCTGCCTTCTTATATCCCACTCCATGTCTGAGGTCACTACTCTGTTTCAGTCACCAAAGTTAACAGTAACTGTTCATAACAGGATAATTTTCTAAACCAGTCCATTTTAGGGATTTGATTTGCATCAGATCTTTACAGATGGTTGATTACACTTTTTTGTTTTTTTAATCAGTGATGTGGGCTCATACCTGCATGACTGGAGGTCAGAGGGGCTGTGGAGGGAGCTGAATATAACTCACAGTGTAAAAGGTAAAAGTCCCCTGAGTGAATACTATGTGATGGTTTCTTGCATGTGTAAAAATGGAAATGAAGCATTGTCAAATTTTCTCCTCTGTCGCATGCCTTTACTGATGCACAGCCTGTACTACAAATGAAGATGCAGGCTACACAATGTGAAGTGCTCCCACTGTGCCTTTGAAAATAGCTTATTCATCCTAAATTGGACAACTCCTTCAGTTTGTTATTGAACTTCATAAATCTCCTACTCACTCCCAGCATCTCATCATGACACACAAACATCAAAAACTGACACAGCTGGAAGGGATGCCTGAACTTCATAGCACCTAGGATGCGTGCCCACAGAGAAGGAAGTATTTGAAGAAGAGACCATGCAGATATTTATTTACAGGAACCTCCTGCCGGGCTTGAAGAATAACACAACCATTAAGGCATCTGAAAATGCAGTGAGAGAATAAGGTTGTATGGCGGGCCAGTTAGGAACAAGGAACCAGACTGCATCTGGCAAAAGAGGAGTGAAAAGGGGCCTGAGAATTAAGAAAGCTGCCTGCATGGGATGCTGTCAAGGAGGGGACATTTGGAAAAGATGCACAAAGAGAGCTGGTGTAAGCTGATTGGAAGGAAAAGGAACTTGGCAGCAGCCCTCTGTGCAAATCAGAGGAGCAACACTGCATTTTTGAGAGCAAATAATTCTGCAGTAAGCAAGATATGAGATAGTGGGCATCTGAGCAAGAAACCTTCATTAGTTACAAAAGGGATAGCTACATCCCACATGCTTTGTACAGAACCTCCCTGTAAGACAGGTAGACCTGAGGATGCAGTGAGAGGAACAAGTAGAAAGTAAGTTTGTAACCATGCTGAGCACCTGCTGGCAACAGATCATTCCCGAGGAAACATTGCAGGACAAGATTCCCATTCTGGTACAGGGAGGCAAAACCACAGAGATTTAAGAGTCTTCTGCATGAACAGAAGACGTAAGTTTGTGGATGGGGTCTCAAAGAGGCAAAGAAGGGTACAAAGAGAAGAGCTTTCTAATACCCCACAAACAGCTAAGGAGAGATGAGAAGAAGCCATTAAACATCCTGCAGAAGGTTATTCATTAGAAAAAGAGAGGGAAGCAGAAGAAATGAGGGGAAGCCAAGATTTTGGTTGAAGTGTATAATCAAATATATCATCCTAACTAACTACCTGGCTAAGGAAGGTGAAGCTAGTGCCAT